TGACAGCACGAAAGTGACACACGTGAATGTTGTGGCACAAAGCCAACTAAAAAGTACGCATTCTATTTTGGATCTGCAGTGAAAGTCATGGCTTGATGGCTAGAGCCAAAAATATTTTTCTTTATACTGATTAAATTGTCACTGATCTGTGAAATACAAACATGACAAATTAATGTTTTCTATTACATTTTAGTTGGGTCCCCTACCTGCAACTGTGATAGAAAACAGCGTGTAGGATAAGAAAATGTAATTTGCATTAGCAGTACACAAACAAATGAAATAAAATACCAATCCACTTTACTTAGAAACATTGCAATAAACACAACTCAGGTAGTTCATGTCACTGCCTGTTATATAAAGTTGTTTTAGTGGCATCCAGGGCACACAGGGTCTTGAGCCTGCAACCAACCCCAAGATAAACATTTTTGTGATTACAGACCATTATATGGTAATGCAAAGAACTGCGAACTAATCAGCCCTGCCTGCCCAGGCTTCCCAATGTTATTCTCTTGATGAGTAGTCAATTAACTGGAAAACAAGCCAATCAAATCCCCATATCCCCAGCCTGTGCACATCTCAAGCTTTAAAAGACGAACATCCAGGTATAGGCATATAACGCATAAGTAGCCCAGTAAGGTAATACGTGTGCAGTCCTTGATGTAGTAAAAAATAAATCTCTGTAATCAAGGCTTACCATTCTCCACAACTACTGCTGATTAAGATGTGTTTTTCATTTGTTATTTTTTGCAAATATTACAGTAATACAATTGAGAATATGGTTAGAGAAGAAGGCCGAGGTTCTTGGCCATACTGGAAAAGTTCCCTAAAGCAACATAATACATTGTTTTTCACATTGCTACTGAACACTTTTTGTAGCATAGCAACCATTTTCAGTAACATGGCCCCTCTTTGTAACCCGCCTTCTGTATAGAATTATTATTCGATATAAGAGAAAATACGATATAATACAATACTATACTATTCCGGCATTAGAGCAAATATATGGCAGTCTTAGATATCATTTTCAACATAGCCAGCCCTGCTTATGCAAGTATTACTATTATTAATAATGATGATAAATTATTATGGGAGGTAATTAAAGCATGTTGATGAAAATGTAATAAAGCTAGTTGATCACTATTTTAGCTTCATTGCCCCTTCATTTGACTTTCAAGACATAAATATCTCTCCTTAACTGAGAACCAAAACTTTCAGTCACTGCAGTATTTACTCTTCATACCAATACGAGCACAAGTGCCAACAAGAAACATGCTGTCAGAACAGAGTGACAGAGAGATGAGCTCATCAATCTGCTTGATCACAACCATTTGGCAGGTAAAACATCTCTCATTATAATTAATCTGTGTATTTTATCATGTGGAAGCCAGGGAAAATGTAGGTGGAAAAAATATTCGATCCCAAAGAGAACACTATGGATGACCAAAATGCTGGGGAAAATGGTTAGGATGTCCTTGTGCCAGAAAATTAAGGCCAAACAAGAGGCACCTAAAACCCATTTTGATGTCAGGAACCAAAAGGCAAAAGAACACTATCCTTCCATTACTTTAAATGCCATAAATTTACATATCAGATCACCAGCAAAAGTCATATGCTGATAGCCTATTTTTTGACATACACTGCTCTAAATCAGGTTTTGCTGGAAATATTATGCGGTTTTCTTTTGTGGGTGTTGCGTATGACCAAAAGCTGCATGGCGAATGATGCTTTCAAAAATTTTACCATAGCACATTCTCTTAACATGTTGTTTGCTCTGTTCTGTGAGTGATAAACTTGGTACATTAACGCCTAACTGTGGTCATTAAAATGCTCCTCCAGCTGATAATAGTTTTTCTTCCCTGATGGTTCTGGTTGTGATAATTGGGCCCCTGAAGATGCTCTGACTGATCCCGTTTGAAAATCTCACGACATATTGGCATATAATTCAGGACTAGTGGATACTGCTGGTTCTGCATTGTACGGGATGATTTAGCCATACCCAGCCACATTCCAGAACATTCACACAATCCATGTAGTATCCAGGGTTAAAAAATTACTTTGTTATCTCATCCCCTAGAAAAATTATCATAAACTACTTCAGTCCCAGGTGCCAATTTAAAACAACGTTATTTTTTGTACTAGCTGTTTTAAAACACCATTGAGACTCCAAGTGGTTCCTGTGGATTCCAGCTAAGATTCAGGTTAGAGCCACTGGCTGTCAGTGACAGCTGGCATCCAGCACTTTGTGACTCCAGAGTCACATCTCTGTCCAGGGTCTCCTTGTAGCAATAAGTCGCTGCTATAGTGATCTATTGCTGGCTGATTGCTATTGCAATTGGAAGATTTAATAGATGATACTAGATCACACTTGCATTTACTGTGTAAGTGTCAACTGCTCATACAAGTGAAGCCATGTCATTTGGGTTTTTTGCAATCACAAACCTGTAAAAGTCTTTGCCAATCTAACTTGATCTTAGAGATTAATGTTATGCCACCAATTTACACAAAAAACATTTTTTTGTGTGCACATCACAATGCACTATCAAAAAGGGACTAGTGTTCGCCTAGAAAAAAATCTGTATATATTTACTTGGAGCTTGACTGTTTCCTTATGTTGCAAACATTGCACTACTGTCATGATTTTTAATCAGCAGATTTTGTTGATTATATTTTGAAGAAAAATTGCAGGAAAAAGTATTTTTTTCATTTTCTTTTACTAATTATTCCAATTAAAAACCAAGGAAAAAGAGATTATGTTTTCAAATCTGCTACCAGATTAAATGAAAAACCTGACATGTGTTCTTATCATTCTCCACTCTGTTTAAAAATGAAAAAAAAAAAAAAGCCTGTAGTAACACTTTAAAGGAGTAATCCACACACTATGTATATGGAAGATAGGATGTGATATTTTTTGTGGGTTTTCTATGACTCTATAGCCTTCACCTATTATATTCCCAACTCTTCATTCACTACATTCCAATACAGCTCATACTTCCCACCAACTGTACGATTAATGAAGTTAATGAACTTCACTGAAGTGGGTCTTCTTCTGGAAGGCCGCATATCAGCTTACATGTGTTTGTGCTGGGAGGCAAGTTTTTCTTTGATAATAAAGAAAAATTGGGAGATATCCATTACCCTTTACCACCAAATCAAAGCCCAGTTTGTCCTAAACAAGCAAGGTATAATCTACCTGGTCACACTAAATAGTTGTGATGAGATATACAGTTTTACTAACACATGTCAAAAGTTGCAAAATTGTGTTCAGGAGTTAAGACTTGTTTTACTCTCCATATGTGGGGGTTAATATATTAATTGCAGGTCAATGCACTGCCAATTGCTACAAATAAAGAACATACACACTCTTTTTAACAATGAAATGCTTTATTACCAATAAGTAACTAATAATCAAATCAGTTGTATACAAGTTTAATTTAATTTTGAAGTGATGCTATAAAAGACTGAAGTACAAACTGATAACAAAGGCATTATCTTTGAGACCGACCACCTTATTTTGCAGTTGTTTAGTCATGTGCATGAACTAATTAAGTCTTAGGAGTAAAATTAGGAACACTTTAATGGTTTTAGATCATTTTCTGGCATCGTCAAGCCCTGTCCCACTCTTGTTTTTTTTTGGCCCTGTTTTTCCATTTAATTATTTGCATTTTTCATTTAATTGCCAGGAAGAAAAAAGAACCGTGGAAGGAATTGCCTTCCAGCAAGCGCTACAGCCCAAAAATCTGGGACTTTCTTCATCTCAGCTGAACACTTCCCTTCTTTAATTCATACTGTACCAAGAATATTGACTAACAAATGCAGGCAGCTACAGCTTTTAATAATTGCCCAATTCTAAAGGGCAAGAGTGGAGTGCTGACAAGTCTTTGCAGACACCCAGCCAATAGACTCAGTGCAAGAAAGTGACTAGATTAATGATCTCATTATAATTCATTAAAGAGTAGTGAAAGGATGGATGCCTGCTTTAATTAGTTTTATTACTGCAGGAAAATGTTTCATAAACCAGGCTCATCGTTATGCACACTTGGAAAACAGAAGAGTGGTAATCAAACTTGATGAGGAGGCTTTCATTAGGAAGCATGGCTAAGGGCAATGATCATGGGTAAGAGGATATTCTGAAGACGGACATGGCAGTGCATCACACACAAAGTTGTCATCTCAAGTACTGTAATTTTATTATGAAAAATTGCAGAGATGGTTACAGTGGTTATTTCAACAGAAGAGCTGACAGAGCACAAACTGTGCAATCTCTGCAATAACAGCCTGGGTGAGCTATACATATACTGGAACACAGTCTGCTAATAAGGCAAACTTTAAAATAGATATATTTCATTCTGCAATATACCAAGCAAATGATGTACACCTATGGTCAATGTTAAAGAGATTTTCTGCTCTACTAATTATACTCAGACATATTCCCCTTATCTCCATAGCTATAAAGATGGAAATCTCGGAAGCATCACATTTTGTCACTATCACTTATTCAGAGAAACCTCAGAGTTTACGTGTTTATCTGTCTGGCAGTGTGTGGGTAGATTTAACCTGACCTCTAAGGAATTATGGTCCTTTAAAATAAAAAAACATACCTGTCTTGTTTGACTCTTTAGGCTGCTTGAATAATGGGTCCCATATTGGCCACTGTGGTTCCTCCTGATGACCAGTAAAGGACACAATAGTGACGTAAGGTTTTGCAAGCAGGATCACAGCTGCTAGTGGGGGACACACTATACCATACAACAGGAAAAGTGGAAGCAGATTGGTGCTGATTTCTGCTACAGCATGAAATTTTAGCAAATGGGCCAACGGAAAAATATGTATAGAGCTAATTTCTTTCAGAGTGGTGCCTGTGTTTGCATATTCTCCCTGTGCTTATGTGGGTTTTTTAGGCACTCTGGTTTCTTCCCAGGGTAATAGGGTCTTTAGTTTCAAAGCTCCTTGGCTGTAAATTTAGATGTTAAAAGCTCTGCCCAGGGGCGGACTGACAACTCATGGGGCCCCCAGGCAATAGGGGATCATGGGGCCCCTGTGTCCTTGCCCAAACTCAAAAAAAGCCTATGAAAAAGGTACCAGGGGCATCTCATGGGGCCCCCTACTGATCCCGGGCCCTCAGGCAGTGCCCGAGTTTCCAAATGGTCAGTCCACCCCTGGCTCTGCCTAAACTGTCAGTGCTGTGTAAATGTCAGTAATAATATATTTGCTATACAAGCCATATTGTTAATAAAATGATCTAAGTTCATCTGAAGCCATCTGATTTTCTAAAACAACTTCCTAGTAATCATGGCAATATTGGATAGGGGTGGAGGGCATAGGGAGTGGTTCAGACAACAAAAAAGTAATTTACTTGTGTAATTAATTCACTGCTTTTCCCAGCAATCTTTTTATTATTACAATTTTGAGACAGATCAAGCACACACCCTTCTCATAAAATAAAAAGACAGTAGAATTTATAGAATTTATATAAATCAAACTATGCAATGAAAAAAACTTGCAATGTATAAAACTGAACTGCAGACAATTAATTATTACCAGTTCATTGGAGGACACATAATTCAGAGATATTTTGGTTATACTGCTGCCTACCAGAGGATTTGAACATTGGCAAAAGAAGACAGTGACCAGTCTTATATAACTCCTCCCTCTTCCAGCATGCCTCAGTTTTATCATATGTGTTTTTCTATCAGTGAACATGTGGAGAGCTCTTTGGCTGAAATGTTGGGGCTTGTAACATACCTATTTGGAGGATTCTTGGACACAACCATTAAGAGTACTCATCTTGCCAGCAAAAAAGCCTAGACCTCAAAAAAAATCCTCTTGCCTTATGCAAAGAAACTACTTCCAGGTATCAACATATAAGGCAAAACCTAAGCCAGCAGCCCAGTTTCAACACAAACCTTGGGCCTCTAAATGACCCAAACCTGCCAACAAGGCTTCTTAAGAATGAGATAGCTTTTCAAAGTAGGGGAGTGTCTGTTAACTTGTATGGACATTTGAAAAGGCAACATTCAGATGTTTCTGTTCAGGAGGCTACAAAATGCAGTAGGACTTTCAACTCCTCCTTTGCATCATGTCAAACCTTGCAGTGTCACTGCCGAGATTAGCAGACTTCCATGCAGCTCTTGCAGGTCTTGTTAATGCTGTTACTTTATACAGTCTGGCTTATATTTTCAGTCAATCAGTGCTCTGGTTACCTTTTTTTCTGGTGGGGCAGTAGGTGGGTCAACACGCCCAGGCTGCCAGTGTGAATTTACAAGTGGCAGCTGAAAACCTTGCCAAGTGTAGCACAGTTAAAGCTTCCAAGTGGTTAATGTTACATCTGCACCCACCCTTAGTGTTACATCAGCATCTGCCCCTCCCCAGCATGCACAGTCACAGGGAAAAGGGAGGATGATGCTTTGAGCTGCTGCAGCTGTGAGTGACAGTGAAACTGCAGCTCAGATTTAGAACAGTGCTTCCCCACACATTATGTTACACAGTGTGTGAGAGAAGAGAGAACAATGGGCACCTTCTCCCTTAGGGACCTGTGTGCTTGGCACACATTAAGGATTTGCTAGTGTGTGGACAGTTCAGGCCTTGAAAAGGTTCAGTTGGATCCTGAACCTCCAAAAGTCTGTACTGGAGTTGATTTATCACTTGAAGTATCGTGGGCTGATTCTAGACATTATTCAAGCTAGAGTTTTTCTTCCTCAGGAAAAATGTGTTACATAAACTATCAAGAAGGAACAGGAAGTCTCGCCATGGCAGAAGAAGTAGAAAAAAAATCTGTCCTGGGCAGAATTTTGCATGGAAGCTCTAGTGGCAGCAGGAGCACCAACCTGACTGTGACACTGCAGTGATCTGGCATGATGGTAAAAGGATATTATGGAACCTAAGATGCTCAATAAGGCAGGTTGAACATTACACTGGTCTACTGTACATCTTTCCTCCCCTATACCCCTTCCTCATCTGCTCTGCAGGACTGAAATGTAGGGTATTTTGGTGATACTTATAGCTCTGGATTGTCCCAGATAGATGTAATATTCCAGCCTGGTCAGACTCCTCACAGGTGCTCTGTCCCAAGAACCAGTTTACTATCTGGCTATATGGTTGGTCACTGACTTTAATGACATGGCTGTTGAAGCTCAGGTCTTGAGGAACAGGGACCTCTCTGCCTCGGTGATCCCCACAATGTTAACAGCCAAGAAGTCTTATTCCTGCTAGATCTACAATCGCACATGGAAGGTATTCTTTCACTTTTATCCCAAAAAATACTCTGTGGGGCAAATCCTGACTTTTCTACAGTCAGGCCTGAATCAACAATTTGTCTTAAGTTCTATTAAAGGTCAGATCTCAGTGCTTGCAGCCTTGTTCCAAAGATATTAAGTCACTCATTATTTAGTTTACATGAGTGTTTCTCATGTAGTCGACCCTGTGCAGCCAGCTGTGTCTCTGTGGAATTTGACTTTGGTGTTCTTGGTGCTTCAAAAACCACCTTCTAAACCTCTCAGGGATATTCCCCTTTCCAGGTTTCCAGGCTCACTCACAAGGTTGTTTTCTTTGTTGCAATCACCTTGGCAAGGCATGTATCAGATTCGGTAGCTTTTTCCTGTACAGAAACGTTACTTACAATAGGACAGGAAGGTGTCAAGGTCTGGAGTCTCCTCCCACCTGCCTGCTGACAGGCAGGGGGAAGCATATATTACAGGAGAGACCAATATGGCTGGTTTTGTCAAAAAATCCTGCCTGTCAGACATGTTTTGTGTTTTAGGTTTAATTCTGCTGTCACTCACAGCTGCAGCAGCTCAAAGCACCATCCTCCCTTTCCCCTGTGACTGTGCATGATGGGGGGGATGGATGCTGATGTAAGTCTGAGGGTGGTTCTCCCTGCCTATCAGCAGTAATGTACATTGAGCCACATATGGTAAGCTCAGTGTACATTTGCCAAATTGCTCTGTGCTGTGATTTTGATTCTTGTACGCATGAGCGGGGGTGACATCATTATGGCCCGGTCAACCAAGTGGCTGAACAGTCTGAACCTGGAAGAAGACTTGTAGATGATGAAAGCACCATGACCAGTGGGGTCACTGACAGCACAGCAGTGGAGGGGACTATTTGACGGGTAAGTCTGCCATAATGCGCTAACATGCTGTGTACACCATTCTGTGCACACTAACAGATTCTGGCTAACAGCTTTCAGGGGCCCATTTAAAAAAAACGAGTTGTGGAGTTTAATTCCACCTTAAGAGAATAAAGTGACACACATCTTATCTCCCGACACACATACCAGTATACAGATGATTAAATGGATGTGTGTAAAAAGTCTTCTTTTTATGAACATTATGAACATTTGTATACCATAACATGCATCTCTGACCAGGCCATTGACATTAAACACATTTATCTTTGCTTACAAGCAGTAAATTAACTTTATAACAAGCCTTCACTGACCTCTGTAGGCTGCAGTCATCATGAAGCAATTCATTCTTAAAGTTTATAGTAAAGTCATTTAAAGTGCCTCTAAAGTCAAAAGCTTTTTTTTTTTACCTTAATGCCTTCTAATAATTTAGGTAAAAAAAAAAAAACTCCCAACTACTTGTCCCCCTGCGTCCCTAATCACTTACCTGAGTCCAATCACGATCCAGCACTATCTCGTCTGCAATAGTGCTGCTCTCCCTTCCTCTTTTCACAGGAGCCTCCAGAGCACTGGGAGTCATCGACTCCTGCTGCTGTCAGTCAAATCCTGTGAGGAGGAAGCATGTGAGTCTATGGATGCACACAGCCTAGCTCAGGAGCATGCCTGCACGGGTGTCCCTGCAGCACACAACTTGCAGAGGGGGCATCCACAGGAAAGGAGAATTGGACAATGGAAGTGTGGGTCTTCAGCAATGGTAAGAATAACATTTTTTGTAATTTTTAATTAAAAAAAGTGCCTCAACAACCAGTTGAAATAACCACTTCCCCGACACCCTATAGCACAAATACTGCTACAGGGCGGCACGGCTGCGCAAAATCACACATATATATATATATATGTAGGGAGCATGCCGCCATCCAAGCTGCCATTCGCGGCCTCGGCTGTCGATTACCGGGTCCCGGACGGTGATTCTCTGCCAACACCCAGCGATCGCCGAATATCACTGACGAGGGAGAGACTATACAGATCTCTCCCCTGTCAGCTCCTGCACACTGCTTTGTGTAAAGCAGACACAGAACATAGTAAAACAGCACACCCTTTGATCGTCCTAGATGTTAACCCCTTCCTGTCCAGTGTCATTAGTACAGTGTCAGTGCTTTTTATTAGCACTGATCACTATATTGGTGTCACTGGGGATGTCAGTGACACCAAGTCAGTTCCCCCCCAGTGTCAGAATGCCCGCCGCAGTCCTGCAGTTCCGCTATAAGTCGTTGATTGCTGCCATTACATGTAAAAAAAAAAAATTCCAGTATATATACCACCATTTGTACACACTATGACTTTCATGTTTTTAGCAAAGACATATAGCAGAATACATTTTGGCCTAAATGTATGACAAAATTTGATTTTTTTTAATTTTTTACTGGACATGTTTAATAGCAAAAAGTAAAAAAATATAGTTTTTCTTTCAAAAATGTCGGTCTTATTTTGTTTATAGCGTAAAAAATTTAAAACTGCAGAGGTGATCAAATACCGCCAAAAGAAAGCTCTATTTATGGGAAATAAAAGGATGTAAATTTCATTTAGGTGCAGTGTTGCATGACCATGCAATTGTCAGTTAAATTAACGCAGCACAGTATCGCAAAAAATGGCCTGGTCAGATAGGGGGGTAAATCCTGTGGAGGGCAAGTGGATAATTTTCTCAGGTAGCTCAACTAGCCTTCCCCCCTATCAGTGCCTTCTGCATGAACTTTAGGGATTCATTCTAAAGTAACCTGTACTGTGGAGCCTGCCATAGCTGACATCTTGAAAATGCTAGTTTCTGGACTCTGTCTTTATGCTGCAACAAGCATGCAGATCAGTAAAGGAAAGAATGGTCAAGAACTGTAATGATCTACACACCTGCCCTGGGTTAGACAGTACCCAGAAAATACAGAAGCCATTGATTCATCACAACTGCCAAACTAGCATTTTTAAGGGAA